AAAACCCCCATGAACCACCCTCGATACGAAGGCACTGAGCCACCTTGTAAACAGAGTTGGAAAAACGTTCTCATAAAAACGACCTAAACACTTTCAGTTTCAATTAAAAGTAAAACCGACTTTTTGCTGCTTATCATTCGTTCATTCATTTACTCATTCATCGTTAAAGGTCAATGTGAAAGTTTTTTGGTAATTTTGATTCTGATGGATGTTTGGTCCTTGTCACAACGATTTTAGATTGTTTATTGGAACAGAAATAAGAGCAACTTAGAATGCTACTACCTTTTTACAAGAAATGTTGAAAATGTTGTCCTTGACTAGCAATACAGGCGTCAGACCGTCGCAAGAGGTTTGTTGATAGGTAAAAACCACTTTCACTCGTTGAAACTCTTCGATAATTTCTGGACACTGTTGATTTCCACAAACGAACTGTTTCATCCAACCGATACATATTTATCGAAAACCGTCTCTTTCAATCGTACTTGTTGACGAGCATGTGGAGTTTGATCGGACAAAAAGTGAGTTACACAACGTGGACAATTAGCGGGCTCCAAACCCTTTACTTTGTCAACATGGTATGGATGTGGCCGTATTATTTTAATGTAGGATGCACTACAAGCTGTGAAAATCCAACTTCTTCTTTCTGTCCTATCACGGCCACGATCGTGAGTTTGAAGTTGAAGGTACCATGATCTCGGAGTTGCTGTACCACCGATACAAATGTTCGTCCACATCAATTATCATATCGACACAATCTGCATGGGAAAACTCCACCATAAACCGATTTCACCGACCGCTCGATGCTAACTGGCCCTTTTCATGTTTTTCACGTTGCGATTAAAAAAGTGCCTGATAAAGTCACTTTTTTGGTTCTTAATCGGACTCGCTCTGTTCCATTCATTGTAGTAATTATGTAGGTCACAAAACAGTCCAGCGGCGCGTACAACAATTTACATTTAATTTCAAATAATTTTTTCTAGACACTGCTACTACTTAGGACCGTGAATTTTACCCAGTGACATAATCATATTGTGAGCTATTCCCCATTTTTTTTTTGCATGTATTTCGCAATCACCTTGTATATGACAGTATTTATTTAACACACAGCTCATACAACCATAAACTCAAGCATACGATTTAGGTATAAACGGTGGACGGCGGTTATGGGGCGGAACGCAACGGTTAATGCCGAGCGGCGCTAGGTTGGGTCGGTAATCCTTCGGTTAATGCCTGAAGGCGGAGCGGAATATCCCTGATTGATGCCTGGGGGACGGTCGGTTGGAACGGTAATCCTCGGGTTGATGCCTGGAGGCGGAGCGGAATATCCCCCGGTTAAAGCGGGATGTCGGGAAGTCTTCCGGTTGATGCCTGTAGGGCCGAAAGGTAGAGGGAGGGGCAGAGCGTACCGGTTAATGCCGAGGCACACTCTACCTCTTCTACGGAAATCGGAGCGAATTTAGAGCTGGCCTTATCGTCACGACACGCGGCGTAAGTCGTGGCCGGCTGTAGGAAGAGGGGCGGCTGGAGGGGATCACTCGCTCTTCGGCGGTCGAACGGGAGCACATCGTTACACGTTTTTAAGAAGCGTAAACTACAAAATTTGATGGGCCTACATTTTAGCATAATAATTTACTCCTAAAGTTTATATTTAAATTGGTGACGCATTTCTAATCTAATAAGAGAATTTTATTGGTCCTTAGAAGGTGGCTTTGGAATTTAAATTGAAAAGTCAAAAGTTCGTAACAACGTAAATTTTTGGTTTTATTTTTAATTCATAGTTAAGAAAGTAAAAATTAAATGGTAATTTAATCCTTTGTGTGTACTAGTGTTGGATGTTCCACTCTGGCGTTTCTTATGAGTTTTATGGTCCAACTGAACATTTAAGAGTCATTTGTAACAATTGTGTATACAGATTGTAAAATAGGAAGTGATGTAAATAAGAGAATCATTTAATATTGGTTTACTTGTAAATAGTGATTAAAGTTTAACGAGGGAATTCAACGTTGCTGCTGATAGTCCACTGGTAAAATGCAACTATATTATATTACATACCGAGGCGGAAAGTATTCCATTTCTATCGAGAGGACTACAGTTTACCGAGAGACGCAGCCTCGAGGTGAGCTAGTTCTCGAGACACAGGAATGGTACTTTTGCCGAGATTTGTATACTATTTTATTCAGTCGTTTTAATTAGTTTGAAAATAAAATAAAAATGTACTAATTTAAAACGTTGATTTCTGTTTAATATGAGTCACTCAGCAGGCGTTGAAAAATACAAGAATTGACGTAACTTGACAAGCGACGTTTAATTAATAAAATTTTATTTAAAATGTCTGATGATGATATGAATTGTACTCCTCCCGAACTTCGGGAAGCTGCAAAAAAGTGACTGGGAACCTTTTGCCAGAAAAAAGCAAGTCCCGTTATCAAATAAAGGCTTACCAAGCATACATTGATTGGTGCGCCGAGAATAAAGTACAAAATATCACGTCGGAAAATGTTATCCTGACGTATTTCGGCGTACTGTCTCAAGATAGGAAACCAACTTTATGGGCAAGTTATTCAATGCTACGAACTACATTAAATATCAAACATAAAGTTGATATTTCCAAATTTGGAAAACTAATAGCCTACCTGAAAAAGCAAAATGTGGGATACAGAGCTAAAAAATCTAGCATTTTTACGAAAGAGAACATAGAAGAATTCTTAAAAGAAGCAGCAATGGAGTTTCTTCCTCAAAAGGTCAAAATATATAGAGGTCTCCATAATTATAACGTACTAAATATTTTACATTCTAGGCTGCATTAATAATAGGAATTTCTAATGCCTGTCGTACCGACGAACTTTTTAAAATCAAAATGCATGACTTCCGTATTTCGGACAACAAAATTATGATTACACTTCCAGACACAAAAACGTACCAAACAAGAACATTCGTTATTTATTACCAACAAAGAATGGCTACAAACTGTAAAAGAATATGTTAGTCTGCGTAATAACGTCCAAAATGATAGATTTTTCCTCGAATACAAGGTGATTGCGAAATACATGCAAAAAAAAAACGGGAAATAGCTCACAATATGATTATGTCACTGGGTAAAATTCACGGTCCTAAGTAGTAGCAGTGTCTAGAAAAAATTATTTGAAATTAAATGTAAATTGTTGTACGCGCCCCTGGACTGTTTTGTGACCTACATAATTACTACAATGAATGGAACAGAGTGAGTCGGATTAAGAACCAAAAAAGTGACTTTATCAGGCACTTTTTTAATCGCAACGTGAAAAACACGAAAAGGGCCAGTTAGCATCGAGCGGTCGGTGAAATCGGTTTATGGTGGAGTTTTCCCATGCAGATTGTGTCGATATGGTAATTGGTGCATCAGTGGTACAGCATCTCCGTGATCATGGTACCTTCAACCTCAAACTCACGATCGTGGCCGTGATAGGACAGAAAGAAAAAGTTGGATTTTCACAGCTTGTAGTGCATCCTACATTAAAAGAATACGGCCACATCCATACCATGTTGACAAAGTAAAGGGTTTGGAGCCCGCTGATTGTCCACGTTGTGTAACTCACTTTTTGTCCGATCAAACTCCACATGCTCGTCAACAAGTACGATTGCAAAAGACGGTTTTCGATAAATGTGTATCGGTTGGATGAAACAGTTCGTTTGTGGAAATCAACAGTGTCCAGAAATTATCGAAGAGCTTCAACAAGTGAAAGTGGCAGCCGCTACTCCGGTGTTTTTTTACCTATCAACAAACCTCTTGCGACGCTCTGACGCCCGTATTGCTAGTCAAGGACAACATTTTCAACATTTCTTGTAAAAAGGTAGTAGCATTCTAAGTTGCTCTTATTTCTGTTCCAATAAACAATGGTGTGACAAGGACCAAACATCCGTCAGAATCAAAATTACCAAAAAACTTTCACACTGACCTTTAACGATGAATGAGTAAATGAATGAACGAATGATAAGCAGCAAAAAGTCGGTTTTACTTTTAATTGAAACTGAAAGTGTTTAGGTCGTTTTTATTCGAACGTTTTTCCAACTCTGTTTACAAGGTGGCTCAGTGCCTTCGTATCGAGGGTGGTTCATGGGGGTTTTGCCCCATTCGATTTTTAATTTATTTTTTCTATATTTCGACTCTACGAGGGTGGGGGATGCCGTGGTTAAAATATTTGCACTTATTTCGCAGTCACCCTGTATATTAGGCCGTTTGGCCATAATAGCATTTCACAATTTCCAAAAAAAACTGCAGCCTACTTGAAGCTACATGACGTGGAAACCTTCACCGGACATTGTTTCCGGCGCACGGCCGCAACTTTGTTGGTTAACAGCGGTGGAAATGTGCTCCACTTAAAAAGGCTAGGAGGTTGGAAATCCAGTGCAGTAGCGGAAGGTTATGTAGACAATTCGCTGGACAGCCAATTAAAAATAGCTACATATTATGCTAAAAGGAAATATCCCTGAGCCAAGTACATCTTCCACTGGCCCATCAACCTCAAGACAAGCACAAGAATTCAATGTTACTAGCAGAGAGTGAAGAGACCTAAAACAGGGATTATTATCTATCACAGTGCAAGGTTGCGCTAATTCTGTGTTTAATTTTAATTTCTATAATCGTCCTAACGATAAAACTACCTCATAACATAGAATAGTTTTGGGTACGATGTATCACTTTGTTTTAGTTTAAGGTTATTAGAAGACACAAAATTTATTCTCCTTTTATTTTGTTACTAGCGACCCTTTAATAAGCAGTCTAACCAAGGCAGGCATTTGTATCACAGTACCACCAGAGAAGTCACACTGTCCATAATTTATACCACATTGGGCGCTAAATTTGAAAATTTCAGAGTTTACAATTTCAAATATTCACATGAATGTATGGCATGAACTATAAAAACTACGAAGCAGTAGTATAATCTACGAAATTATCGATAAAATGTGTTATTCATGAATAAGACTACAAGTAAAATGTAACAATTTATTAAAACAAAAACAAAGAAAAACAAAGAGTAATTACCAGTTATTTTATAACATGCTTTTACTGTCCCTGCAAAGTTGGGATATTGTAATTTTTTTGCTTAAAACTAAAAGTAATAAACCTATGAATTAGTTTAGTTTTTAAATTATCACAGTTCAAAATGCACTCGATCACTATACACTTGTTCAATAAAAACATATGTGGATTGGCAATTCCATCTGTACGTTTTAACATTTCCTCATATTCACACCAGGCATACAAAGAATTCATTTCTAAGTTTCACAATGGACTCGAACTAGATGGTTCCACGAACTTTTCAGAGTCTCCAGGAACATTGATGTATTAAATATGGCAAAATATTCCTTTAAAGACACAATCAATATCTTAAATTATTAAATGCCTTAATCTTATTATCTCACCTCAATCTTTTGCTGTCTGATTTGCTCTACCATTATTTGTTGTCCATTGGGTTCTTCTAGTAGGATAACGACAGAATACCTTCATTCAAACGTCAGTTTGGTGCACAAAAACCCATTATTTTGAATCCTATTACCTCCTACATCTATAAAATAATTAATAATTCAAGTACATTACTTGAGTGGGTAACACAAGGAGGTTTAAATGTATAGAGAGAGTACTGCGCTCGTTGTTTTGTGTAGCACATATACAAACCCTCTCTGCTGTTCGTATGGTGTTCGTACACATTCGTGAATTGACGCATAAGCAATTGAACGAGTCAGTGGCGGAACTAGATTTTACTGCTGTCTATTAGTTTTAACACATTTGTCATTGTTCTAGATTTTAGTGGATGTTTGCAAAGACCAGATACGTGAACGTGTGGGAAGTGCATTAACCACACATTTTGTTTAAAAACCAATATTTTTTGTTTTTCTTGAAATTGTATGAAATTGAAACTCGTCAGCCACTGTACTGCAGTACAGTAAACCTCTCGCGCCTCACTCCTCTCACCCGAGAGATGTTGGTCGCACTTTGATATATGGAAGGTACACGGTATACTCTCTCTATACATTTAAACCTCCTTGGGGTAACACACGAGTTGACATAACCTCAATTTGTTACCACAACTTTATTTATCATTAAAACTTCCATTAATATATGACCATTCCATTAATGCTAAAACTTACCTTACAATTTTTCACTGTGAAGAACAGTAGATTTATCCCGCAAATTGGTAATAAAATTCAACTTGTATTAACATTGACCAACGTCAAACTCAAGGTAATGGCCGTGTGAAATAAAGTGGGGGCACCAATGAAAAAGTGACAAAGTTTTCACCACAAGCTCTCCTTGAGATATTTATAATCGCCGATTTCCATCTACCATTAATTACACATACGTAACGTTTTAGGGTCGAAAGTGACAATCACTTCCACCTCTTGGGTGGAAAGTGACAGTTACTTCCATCTCTTGGGTGGAAAGTGACACATAAGTGACACATGTCACTTTTCACCCTTGAGATTGAAGTGAAGTATGTAATAGCTCACTTCCAAACTTTTAAAAAGTTTGAAAGTTTCAAATTACTGACCGATTGTGAATAAAAGATATTGTGTGATAATCACATCATTGTTCCGTTATAGTGGGGGACGTAATCCGCTTGCCTGGCCAAGGACCTTATCCTATGTTAAGAAAAATAAACCTAACTGTTTTTGTAACGTGGAACTGTTGGTTTTTATTTAATTTTATGAGATATCCTCTGTAAAGTGCTTATGAAGTCACAATCGAAAACATACAACATTGACCACACTATAAAAACATTTTTACTGTTGTTGTGTATTTTTCATAATGTTCACAAGACCGCAAGCCGTGAATGACCTTAGAGTCTACTATAATGTCGCATTACGTTAATTGTAAAGTTTCATAAAAAAAGGTAGTTGTAACAAGTGGTTTCACTTCCCATGTATTCTTAACTTCACGAAAAATTAAGTTAAAATATCAGAAAAAAATTGGTTGAAAGTTATTGCGGCAGGAGTTCCCTCGCCGCCTAAGTGCAATGCCACAAATCCCGCTTCTTCGAAAAATAAAAAAAAAATGATTTTGCGAATTTGTATTCAATAAAACAAATACAAGATTATGCTGTTTTATAAAATTTATTATAAACGTTTTTGAGATGTCGTGACATTGATTAGGCAAATTTTGGTTAGAGTTTTACCATCTACACGATATTCTTAACATACAATTAAAATACAATCGGTTCGGTAGTTTTGGAGATTATCTACCTAATAAAAGTCTGAACAGACGATACACAAAGTGAGCCACAAGACCTAATTTTTCATTCTCTATGGGTCATGAAATGTCGAGAAAACATAAAAGTAGCCAGTCGTCCCCGATAGACTTGATTACAATACTTTCTTTGCTTACGCTCTGGAAGGAAAAATAAAATTCGCAAAATTAAATTTTATAATTTTTCGAACATTCTGTATTTTATTGAGCGTGTATTTCCACAACACCGAAAACACACAATATATTTGTCGACACGTTTCGCCAACCACGTTGGCATTATCTATGCATGATTACAATAACTTCAAAGTATTCAGTTTTGCAATTCTTGATTTAATCAATAAAATAAACTGACATTTCAAAATATTATCACTCTATTTTCTTTGCCATTTCTGTTGAAACACCACCTGTTGATTTTGCTTAAAATTTAGCAATTGGTAACAGCTTTCGGTTGGTTGACAACGGCTTTTATTTAGAAAATTGTCTGAATATCAACGTTGACAAATTTACGATTAACAAGTGGTGTTTCAATAGAAATGGCAAAGACTATATGTGATTTGTCGTTGTGTTTTTATTTCCCGAGTGTAAACGAAGGAATTATTATAATCGAGTCCGTCGACCGACGCTCTACTTTTGCGTTTTTTCGACGTGTGGGGTTGATGTTGGTCAGGACTCAATAACTCTCAATCCCCAACAATTAACAATTTATTCACAAACGTTCACACAAGAGAAAATACAAAGCAGTGTTCATGTCAGAGCGAGACTCTAAGAAGTACTAATTCTCCTCGCCCTCTCGTGGGGGGAAACGCCGCGGTCAGGTCTACATAGATGGCGCCACATCACTCCTTCCCCAGTGAGAGGGTTGCGAACACTCGAGCGATTAGAAAGTTTTTACAATTATTTACGTACAATGAGTTATAAGCATTACATTTTAGTGAAATTGGACGAAATCTTTGTAGCGCGATGGAAATCTGACGCGCCTCCCTGATCGGGCGGTCTGCTCGCTTCGTGCTTGTTGGTTGGGCGCGACTGTCTCGGCGTCAGAATTGGAATCGTCACTAGAGACTTCATCTGGTGGGTTGGCGGTACGGTTGGTACTCGTGCATGGAGTGAAATCTGTCATTCTTTCGACGTATGCGGGTTTTAACCTATCAACGGATACGTTTGCAGCCCTACCCTTAATTAGCAAGGTGAAAAACTTGTCGTGGCGTTCCAGCACTTTGAAAGGACCTTCATATGGGGGCTGAAGTGGCTTCCGTATAAGATCCACTCTCACAAACACGAACTCTGATTGCTGCAAGTTGTTTGGCATATGGACGTAGGGCTTGTTGTGGTGCCGTGCTGCTGGGTATTTTAGGCACTGCATTCGGGCTTTCAACTGCTCCACGAACTGGTTTGTCAGCGGGGGCAGTGTCTGTGGGTTCAACGTTGCTGCCTCAAACATGTCACCTGGAAGCCGGAGAGACGTACCGTAAACTAAGTCGGCTGCAGATGTATTGATGTCTTCTTTTAGCGTTGTTCTTAGGCCTAATAAGACTAGAGGTAGGGCGTCAGTCCACTTGCTATCGTGGCACATGAGTGATGTCTTCAGTGACCGATGGAAACGTTCAACTAGACCATTACTCGGTGGGTGGTAGGCTGTGGTTTTAATGTGGTGTGTGCCTAGCATCTGTGTCAGGGATGAAAACAGTGATGACTGGAATTGGGTACCTCTATCTGTAGTTATTTTGGCTGGTGTTCCGAAACGACAAATCCATGTGTTGACAAATGCTTTAGCGCATGTTTCAGCTGTAATATCTTGAATCGGCGTTGCCTCCGGCCATCGTGTGAATCTATCAATTAGGGTTAGCAAGTACTCCTTCCCATTTGCTGAGGGTAGTGGCCCTACAATATCCAAGTGCACATGGGAAAATCTGGCATCCGGGTTTGCGAACGTGCCAACTGGTGCATGGGTGTGTTTGTGCACTTTGGCCTTCTGACATTTTAGGCATTCTCTTACCCATGTTGCTATGTTTTTCCGCATGGAGGGCCAGAAATATTTCTTCGAAATCTGTTTAGTGGATGATTTCACTCCGGGGTGTGCTACTTGGTGGATGGTGTCGAAAATGTGTCTTCGGAACGTTTTTGGAACGTAGAGTCTGTTCCCGTGGTTGGATTCATACCAGAGTGGTTCGTCTATGACAGGTGCTGTAATGGTGATGAACGCGAACTTGCTTTGCTTTTTTAGCTCTTGCAATTCTGTGTCTTCCTTTTGTGCTTTAGCTAGTTGTGCGAGAGAGAACTCTGAACGTGTAATTGCGCTGATTCTTGATAGTGCGTCGGCTGGAATATTGTTCGAGCCGTGAATGTGTCTGATATCGGTGGTGAACTGTGAGATTAAGTCCAGATGTCGACACTGTCTAGGCGAGCATTTTTCAGGTTTTTGTTGGAAGGCGTAAGTGAGTGGTTTGTGGTCGGTATAGATTACAAAGTGTCTACCTTCTAGAAAGTGTTTAAAATGTATCACGCTTTTATAGATCGCTAGGAGCTCCCTGTCATAGGCGCTGTACTTCCTTTCAGCGGCTGTCAATTTCGATGAGAAAAATGCGAGGGGCTTTTGAGACGATTCTTCCAACTGCTGTAACACTCCTCCGATGGCCTCAGCTGAAGCATCTACTGCTAAACTGAGTGGCAGTTTGGGATCGGGGAATGTTAGTGTTGTTATGTTAGCTAGATCCGACTTACATTTTTCGAAAGCTCTCTCAGCTTCCTGGTTCCAACGTAAATCGGCGTTTTTACGTGAACACCCTTGAAGAAGGTTGTTCAGGGGTGCTTGGGTATTTGCTGCGCCATTGATCCATCTGCGGTAATAGTTTAGCATTCCCAAAAACCTCTGCAAGTCTTTTGAAGTTTTTGGTTTTGGGAAAGTTCTTATTGCGCTGACTTTCTCTGGGAGCGGTTCCAGGCCTTTGTTTGAAACCTTGACGCCAAGGAATGCTAGCTCAGGTACGCCAAACTTGCATTTTCCTGGGTTGATGACTATGCCATGTTTGTGCAGACGTCGGAGCACTTCCTCCACATGTTGGACATGTTCTTGTTCTGACGTACTGGCAACAAGTATGTCGTCTATATAGGCGTAGGCGAAGTCGAGTCCGTACAATGCTTGGTCTACAAATCTCTGGAATGTTTGTCCAGCATTTTTTAACCCATATGGCATCCGCAGGAATTCGAAGAGTCCGAATGGTGTTGTGACAGCTGTCTTTGGTCTATCGCTTGGATTTACAGGTATCTGAAAATATGCGGTTAATAGGTCCAATGAGGAGAAAATTGTCTTGCCCTTTAAATTGGCGGCGAAGTCTTGGATGTGCGGCACTGGATAGCGGTCGGGGATTGTGACTGCGTTAAGACCGCGATAGTCCCCGCATAGACGCCATGTGCCATTGTTTTTGGGGACCATATGCAAAGGGCTGGCCCAAGGTGAGGAGGACGGCTGTATGATGCCATTTTCCCTCATGCGCCGAAATTCTTCTTTGGCGATTCGCAGCTTGTCAGACGGCAGTCTTCGGGGTCTACAGTGGGCTGGGGGTCCCCGAGTTGGAATGTGGTGAACCACGTCGTGTTTCGTTTCGCGTGGTGTTGTTGTAGTTCGGGTGACCTCTGGGTACTTTTGCAGCATCTGTTTATATGTTGCACTCGCACCTTCGAAGACTGCGTGGATCCCGTGTTCGTGAGCGCGCTTCAAACACCCTTCGACCGAGAGCGATGTGCGCGAGTCACTTATTTTTTTGTTTTTTATGTCCACGCACAAGCCATAATGTTCGAGAAAATCTGCGCCGATTATTGCGTTCGTTACCTCGGCGACTATAAAAGTCCACTTGAATTCGCGACGAAGTCCAAGGTTTAGTGTGACGGTTATTTGACCAAAAACGCGGATTTTCGAACCATCGGCTGACTGTAGTCGCAACGAGGTGGGTTCACGGGCGCACTTGTGTTTGAATTTGGCGGGCAGAATGCTGATATCGGCGCCTGTGTCAACGAGAAAGTGTGTCTTCGAACCTTTGTC